GTCCATTCCACTTTTGGAAAGCTCTCATGATGGGGAGTTTTGCATACTCTGATGGCTCTGTGATTTTATTTCTCTGGATACTTCAACATTGCAGATTATAACACATCACAGTCTTTTCATCCTATACATGACTGATGTACCTGCTTTTCTGGGAATATATTTCTCTGATATCTTTCCTAACACTCGTATTTGACTTCATAATACTCATGCCCATCATTCCCTTATCAATTTTCCTTTGAGAGACCTGAAACTTTAAATTTTCAGAGACTGATTATTCCATGTTTCAGTCCTATAGAATCAAAAGAAAATTAGTGATGTTAACCCTTTGTTGTCGAGAAGTTAGGGAATTACTACATAATTTTCAAAAGATAATTCAGCCTGTTCTCTTAGCCCATCAGGACCCAGTTCAATGTCCACCTGCAGAGCCTGTCGAAGACAAATGTGCTGGTGGACCAACTCTCTGGGTTGTCTATTCAGCTACATAGAATTTTGGACACTAGGCATTTTTCATTGGCTTGATTTTTCCTGTGTAGACAATTAGATTAAACTCTTGAGTGATCATAGATATCATATAGGAAAAGTTTTTCCTTTTATCAAGCCTAAATCTGTTTTTCTCCAACTTCCACTCCCGGATCCCAGTTCTGCCCTTTGGGGCTAAGTAGAACAAGTTAACTGCCCTTCCACATGAAAACTCCTAAAACGCTTAAAAGATGGACAGCTATCAGGTTCCCCTAAGACTTCTCCAGATTAAACATCTCCATTTCCTTCAACTGATCCTCTTACGGCATGGTATTGAGGTAGTTCCCCATCCTAGTCTCCTTCTGAAATCTCTCCAACTTTTCATTCTTGAACTGTGATGCATGGAATTCCTTAAAGTACTTGATATGTATTACTTCTCTTGATCCTCTTTTAAAGGGCTTATTTCACAAGCTTATCCCCATTATACTTTGACTGGAGTACAGCACACTGTGCAGATCCTCTATAGAAGCTCTAGGGGTGAACATAAAGGAATCATAAAGGATGAAAGGGTGCGGATGGGCTGTTATCTACACCAATGGCAGAGACAAGTATATGAGATTACAGGTCCACTGAAGCATATACACTTGGCAAGTTGCATTAAGGGGAGCAATCACTGAACCCAAATTCAAAATGCGTTTTCTCATAGGTACAAATATATTGGAAAACTGTCTCTAACACGCTGCGTTCATTGGACCATTGTGTTTTATGATGTAGCGGAAAGACCAGTAAGTGTGGGGCCAGAAAATTGGTTCAAATCCCAGCCCTGTTAATCATTACCAGTGTGACTTTGTGCAAGTCATTTCATCACTCAGTTCTCTAATACAATGAAGGAGTTGGACTAGGTGATTATTTTAAGACTTCCTGTAACGAGGGAACCAACTTTCTATAAAAAAAACAGTCCATTCCACTTTCGGACAACTAATTATTAAAGTGTTTCTTATGTATCTTATAAAGATATCTCATACCTTTAAAACTATTCTGGGGCCCAGCAGAATGAACCTTAGTCCTTATTCTGTGAGTCTAACATTTGAGAACAGTGATCATATTCTTCTCTAGCTAAGACAATCCCAGTTCCTCCAAATGACCTTTGTATGATATGGTTTGTATCTCCTTATCACATATACAGTCTAGCTTGTTAATATCCTTCCCAAAACACAGCACTCAGAATTGACCAGGCAGAGTAAAAGAGGATTGTAACCTCCCTCCTTCAGAACATCCTACCTCTCAACCTACAGTTCCAGTCCTAACCTCCCTCCTGTCCTCCAATCTCACAGTGCTGATCACTTTTTGGACATTTCAGAATCAATGTTCCCTAGACATCTCATACACACCATGTCCATAACTCACTAACTCTCCCATTACTCTGAGTGCACCTCATCCTAGTCTTCTGGGCCCTAAACTTTGGTGTCAGCCTCAATTCCTTACTCTCCCTGAATCCACATATCCAATCTGCTGTCAAATTACGTCATATCTATCTTGACATACCTTATCTATATCCCCTCAATCTGTTAAGTTGGTTCAGTCTTCACGTCTTGTAAATACCCTCTTCTCTATTCAGACAGGCACTACCCTAGGATAGCCCTTTATCACCTCTCACCTACACTGTTGTAATAACCTTTTAATGGGGTCCATTGTTTTAAGTCCCTCTCTATTTAGCTTGCCAAAAGGATTTTCCTAAAAGTATAGATCTGCTCATGTCACCCACTACTCAGACTCCAGTGGCTCGGCTCCCTCTTATCTCTGAGATGAAATAAAGATCTCTGGCATTTAAAGTTCTTCACCACCCGGACCCTTCCTGCCTTTCCTGCTCTCCATCCACAGTGATTAGCTTCACTGGCCTCCCTCCTGTACCTTGTCACACACTAGTGGTCTATCTCCCAAGGCTGTGCCTTTTTACACATGACTATCCCTCATACCTAGAACACTATGCCTCCTCCCCTCCACAGCTTCCCTGGTTTCAAGTCTCAGTCAAATTCCATTTTCTGGAGAACCCCCTCTCCCTTTTCCCTTTAGAGAGATGACCGTCTATGTACTCTGCACACATCCTGTATGTACATAGTTATTTATATGCTGTCTCTGTTGGAATGAACTCCTCGAGTCCAAGGATGGTGTTTTTGCCTTTCTTTGTATACCCGACACTCATATTCTAGCACATGGGAAGTGCTTAATAAATGCTTGTCGACTGATTTGTGTATTTGGATTCAAAAAGCTACATGGCATAGAAGAAAAAGCATACCCAAATTAAGAATGTGTTTTCCAAATTCAAAATACATTTATAAAGGACACAAAAGGCACTGTGTTAGGGGGGATAGGGAAATCAACATTTAAAGACAATACTTGCCTTCAAGGAGGGGGAGTAAGGCAGAGGGGGGAAGAGGATGTGCTATCTGCATAGATAAGTATGATGCTAGGTAAAATGTGATGGGAACAAAGGAAACATTCAAATGGCTTAAAAAAAAGAACAATTTTGGAAGAAAGTGAGGTTAGCTGCTTGGTTAAGGAGAAGGGAGTAGTAGGAAAGGCTTTGCAGTGGAGGTGATAACTAAGGAGCAGAAAAGAAGAGGGAGTGCTTTTGAATTCATTTATAGCCCACTAGTGTGATATGTACATTTAGGAGTCACTTAACCTGTGACCAAATAATAAATAGACCTGCCCTGTATCTACTTGAAATGAGGGGTTAATCATTCAGTGAGAAATAAGAAATACATTAAAAACCTCCAGAGTACTGGACTGATTCTCTAAAAAGACTTTATAAGTTGAGGCTAGAAGAAGAAACCATGTATAAGATCGTACATCTTTAAGCACTTCACTTTTGTGATATATTGAGATTAGACGTCAAAGCACTTTATGGCATTATAAAGGACACACAAAAATGACCATTCATATGCCTTTCTCTTATATTCTGAATGGAAGCCTAATGGTATCCATCATAGGGGAAAATATTCACTTTAAAAGTGTGACTTCAAAAATGCAGAAAAGGAAAGCTACAAAAAGCCATTCTTACTATTAGTGTTAGAGCACAAATTAGGGAAATTAATGAAGAATGCTGTAGAAGTGATTTGGACTCAGTGAGAAATTTGCCTAAATAACCATGTAATTCCACTTCAGCTAAAGTTCTACAAATCGTGGGTCAAATCAGCAAATGGAATTTTTGTACTAATGACAGACTGCTGAAAATTAATTTGATTGTAAATGGTCTAATACAGATTGAGTACATTGGTTCAAACTGATTCTGATTCAATCTGGTCATCTTGTGTGGTGTAATAAATTATAGTATATGCTACTTTTTTTCTTCCCATAAAAGAAAATATGATTTTTTAAAAATGTAAGCTATGATCTAAATCTAACGTTTGAGGAAATAAATGGTAAGTTTTTCTAATAAGGTTCAGAAAGTGAAGGCAAGCAAACACGGTTGAAAAACACTCAAACTTTCTGAAATAAGTTTAAATTTGTTGGGTGCAGGGAGGGGAGTGGCAGAATGACACATTTTTCACCGTATCAACATGCTCTCCATGGTTTAGATTGGTTTGCCTAAATACTTTGAGATTTTACAACAGAAGAGGTCTTTTAAGCACTTAACTTTTATCTTGTAAAGGATAGTTTCAGATTATAATTGGAGACAAAAATACTAAGATCCAAAATATCCATATGAACTAAAATCACAATTCTCATGTTAAATTAGATGCTCTCAGTGAGAAACTAGCTGTTTATACAGTAATAAATCAGGTACGTGCTGTGCTCTTAAGTGAAAGGATAACATTCTGAAAACTCCACTTCATGAAAAATGTTTATGGGTTAACCACCTCTGGAAAAAGTACTCTCTCTCTACATATTCATTCCTACAGCCTGGCCCTCTTGGGTGATAGGAAAGCGATACCCAACATAACAGTTCACGCACCCCTTCTCACCAAGAAATAATCATTAATCACTCCTTCCATGTCCAAACTGAAATAAATGGAAAAATCTATGTCAAATCAATCGATATGACCCCCTACCTAACTCAAAGGCAGAAAACATTTAGTACATGAAAGATTAATATAATCTTCAATAAATCTTATTAGGAAGGGAAAAAAAGTCTACTTAGTATCATCTGAAAGTGACAACCCACAACAATATTAATTAAATGTCTAAAATCAACTTTCTGGTTTTTATAGATGAAGAGGAGAAAATATGGCAAATACTATTTTAAAACAAACTAATACGCTTTAAGTTAATCATCCCAATTTTCTAAATTTTCTCAAATTATCCAGTTGTCGACAGAAATTGTTCTTCCTCTATAGTTTGCCACCAAACGTTCATCAAGCTGTCTGTGATACCTTCCAGTGAGTGCTATGGTCAGGATAGGTTTTTCCTTTTTTCAGTTTTCTTCATTCTTCCTGATAGGTTCTTAGAAAACAAACCTAAACACTTCATAGAGGTCAAAGTAGGAATTGAGTACGGTAGCTTTTATCTTTAAAAATCACATCAAGCAACAAAACATATAAGGTTTGCAGCTATTTTATTTACAAGTATACATTTAACACAATGAAAGAAACACTGATATCCAAGCCTAGTTAAGAGTAGTGTAACAATATGTATCATTTTGATGATTACATTATTTTAACCAACAAACTACACTGAAAAATTAATGCCAGTAAAATTCTTGGTCATAATATTAAGAAATACAATATATAAATTGAAAATATGATTGCTTAAAATTTGAAAATGGAAGTGAAGCCATTTGGACATAAGTCAGAGTTCAACATAATCTGGAGGGAAGGGAAAAAAAAAAAGCTCTGACCCAAGGTTAACAGAAGACAAAAAGAAGCATAGTTTATCTTAAAGGATAATGGGCAGTTTGCTTCTTCAGGTAGACTATATTCCCAGTGTCCTCAGGTTTTACAGTGGAATTTACATTACTGAGCATGAAGACTTCCCTTGTGAAGCTGCCCCATCAATTTTTTCTGCCTCCAAAATTATCCTCCTAAAAACATCAACAGCAGTCTGGAAAAGAGGAAAGCAATGACTATTAATTTTAAGTAGAATTCTGATAAATACACATCTACTGCTTCCAGGTATAGCCAAATTTAATAGCTATTAGCTTACTGAGAAGTGAGCAAAGTGGTATATGGAAAAGCATAGAAATGAATAAAAATCACGCATAAATAGCAGGTGTTTTTAAACTCCAGTTTTCTAAGTAAAAATATTTCATAAATTATATAGATGGATTTAAGTTGGTACTTTTGAGTTTATGTATAATGAAGGATGTTAGATTAAAGTGAGTATCCAGATGGTTTTCCTTTCTTTAAATCTTGCTATGTTAATACTCCTTTAAAGAAGCACCTAACATTCCATTACTGGAAAGGAAGCATTAATAATGAAGTGAGCATATATTTTTCCATCTGAAATCTTTCAGCTATTCAATCTGCTTTATCTTTTCCTACTATGGTTAAAAGGCTTTGAGAAGACTGGCCTCAGTGTCCTCATCCATAAAATGAGGGGACTGGGCTTGATGATCTTCAAGGTTCCTGCTACTTCCAAACCTATGGTCATTCATCGCAGTTTTGGTTTTCTTTAAGGGTGGCTCTCATAACTTAGTTTTACTTATTTTTGACTTAAATTAAAATATATCTCTTTTCAATATGACAAATGGAACCATTACTGATAAATGTCCCACACCTTAACAATGTGGGCTTATGTTCAATATTGAAAAGGATTCAGAGATCACATCTGATTTCTCTTTTCCTCCCATTTCAGGTAGGCAGGCAGGACTGTGCTAAGGATCACTGGAGACCGAGAGCCAAAAGGAACCTCAGAAGCCATCTAGTTCAGGCCCTTAACTTCACAGATGAGGAACTGAAGCCCACTGTGGTAATTTTCCCAAGGCCACACAGCTATCAAGTAGTAGAGGTAAGAGTTGAACCCATGCTCTTCGACTTCAAATCTAGTAACTTTTCCACTGTATTAGGCTGCCTCTGAAAAAAGTCCTTGTTTTCAACATCTTCACCAAGGTATTTCTAAAGATATATATACTCCATGATCTCACAGTCCCAATTTTAACTGCTTACACTAAAAAGCCATGATCTTACTACTCTTTTCAAAGAGGTCAAAAATTCAACAGAAGATGCTGAATTTCAAAGGCATATGTAAGAATATAAGCCATTGATTCATTCAAGCCACCTGATCTTCAATTTTATAAAAACATATTTTCTCTAGGAAACTATTCAATTATGAAAAGCCTGAGAGTTCAATGGATTCTGTTACACCTCTAACACAAATGAAAGTTTAAAATGGTTATTTTAATGACAGGTATAAATACAAACTAAACTTCCATCCACTCAAGTATTCAGGGGAAACACCTAATAGTAAAAGAATAACTAAGAGCGTGTGTGTGTGTGTGTGTGTGTATTTTTTTAATAAAAAACAAAACAAAACAAAGAGGTGTGTTTAGAATAATAGTTCATTAATTACCCTTAGGTTCCACTCTCTCCAAATGAGATATTTGTAAAGCAGTTAACACAATGCCTGGCACATAGTACATACTTAGTAAATGCTTGTTCCCTTCCTTTCCCCTCCCAACCCAAAGCCTGTACTACTTTGTATTAAGTTGGAGATTTAAGGAAGATTGAACTATTTTGGGCCACTAGAACGGTATTTAGTTTGAGTCAGCAACTTGGACACAAGGACCGAAGTAAAAAATCTCTGCCTTGATGGAACTTCATATTTTATTCGGAGAGACAATATACACACAGAAAAGCATATGTAAAATAACTACCAGGTAATGAGATTGCAGGGAAGGCACTACTGGCTAGGAGGAGGGGAGAGCCGGGAAAGGCATATAAGAGGTGGTACTTACACTGAACTTTGAAGGAAATTAGGAATTTGAAAACACACAGGTGAGTGCATTCCAAGCATGGGGAACAGACTGTCCAAAGATACAGAGACAGGAGAATGTGGTGTATGAGGAACAGTAAGAGGCCAGTTTGGCTGAGCCAGAGAATACAAGAAGGGGAGTCATGTACAGTAAGCTTAGAAAAGCAGATTTCTTGTCAAGGATGTAAAGTGTCTAAATTAGGAGTTTGTACCTATAAGATGCCTTTGTGTGCAATGTATTGTTACATTACCAGAAATAATGACTTTGAAAACAAAGTTTTTCTTTTTTTTTTCTTTCCACTCAAGGAAAATCACATTAAAGTGTGAGAAAAACTTATAAATTCATATTATAGGATGAAAATTGATTGTGGTGATTATGATTTTATTTACAATAAAATCTGAAATTGTCAGTATACTTAAAAAAAACCATACCTGATTTTCTTTAGCAGAAGATTCCAAAAAAGCTGCATTCCAAGATTCCGCTAAAGCTTTCCCTTCTTCATAACTGATCACTCTAGAGGGGTGAAGGGTAGAAGAGAGAAAAGACTGCAAGTGATACAGATATAATATCTGCCAATGAGTTAGGGAGCCAACATTCTTTTAAAAAGCAGAACAGTTTTAATATTCAACACTATTAAGTTTAGGTGTAAACTCTTACTCTAGTTAGTAGTCAGAACTAATACATTAATGAAGCCAAAGATTTTTGCAGTTTTACATTTTAATATTTTAAACTTACATTTCAACAGGAACATATTTACACAATGGTATTTCCCAGCTATCCAAGGCAAAACTTATTGTAAGTACAATACAAGGCAAAATTTCCAACTATTTTCCTGCGATAAAATTTTGTTGTACTAACATCTACAGATAGTTCCATAATATTTTATAAAATATTAAAGACAAAATTAAAGAACACAGGAAAAGTGGTTTCCAGTAATGTGTGATCTGAACACCCTATTTAAGTGTTTATGAATAATCAAGCAAAGGTAGGTTTACTGAAATTGTACTTTGTAAATTTTACTTTAGATCCTACTACTCTGTACAGTTCCCTAAATTTAGAATTTTAAAAACTGTTAGAAAAATAACAGTACAATTCCTTGACCTGAGAACAGAAAGTACAAATGTTTTAGAAATTAATATCTAACTTGCAATTCATAAAGCAATGTTAATTACATACCGTTCCATATGCAGGTCTTTCTTATTCCCAACCAACATAATAGGTATCCTATTAAAGAGAAAAAAAAAAGAGGGCAAAACTCACTGAAGCTGTAAATTTTAAAATACATACTACTTTGAAGATTTAAGTTGAGACAGGAGTAAATTTACTACTTACTGGACTTTCCCCACCATATCCAACAACTTGCCATGGATAACTTTAATCACTTCAAAACTACAAAATAAAAAAGATGAAAGCACATATTCGTTATATTAGGGTTGTGGTATTTAAAAGATATGCTATAAAGTAGTTTGCATTTTAAACTCCAAATCCATCCAGAAAAAAACTCAAATCACTTGGAAACCACGTAAATCGATATCTATAGCATTATCCTTAGAACAATTTTTCCTCCCCCTGAGCACTTTGATATGTGCATGCTAAATAAGGTAAGTTAATCAAATAATTCTGATGGAAAACTTGAGAAAAGTAATTCATATAAGATTAGAAAAAAGCAAAACAGTGGCAGAACAAAAATTGCGTCCTATTTTCCAAAAGTTTAGTTTTCCAAAGTTTTACTTTCTATTCTTCCTTAAAGATAACGTGAAACAAGTTTTTCATCTTCCCAAACAAAAGGCAAATATGACTGATGAGTCATATTTGAACTAGTGAGTTCAATGTTTTTTGAGTACACAATCTACAGAGTCCTGTAATAAACAGGAGAAAGCTCTGATGTGACTTGGGAAAACAAGTGATTTTCTTTCACTACAATTATTTGAAATCTCAGTCCAGTAGTAAAGGTACCACAGGGAGGACAACAGAACACTAACCAACATTATTTGGTAATGTACAAGATTACCATTAATTATTCTGCAGCTTATAAGGCTCTTTTGTAAAGCTCCACATTGCCTCTCTCCTAAGTTACATGGAGACAAATCCTCTTGTAAAGCCCCAAAACTTTTCTCAATGTTTTGAGGAGAGGAAGGGAACCTTTTAATAATTTAATAGACCTTACTTTGACATTTCAAAGTCAAAGGTTGTCTTAAAAATAAGATATTTATGTACTAGGAGGCAAAAAGAAGCACCAGTGATTTGTATTCCAAATTTCAAAAGTCAGAATAGCAAATAAGAGGCAAATAGTTCATAAGACAAAGAAAAACACTAAACACAACAAAAGGAAAATGATGCAAACTATCTCCTATAATAGCACTCATTCTCTTTCTGGTGATTTCCTGGAAGGCAAAGCCATCTTTCCTCCCCCTTTTCCTTTGAGGTGTTCTACTCACAGCATACCAGGACACCATAGGTACTGTCATAATTAAGAAAATCACCACAAAACACCATTTTTAGGAAGCTAAGATTAGCTGTAATGAGATTAGGTATTTTTCCTAGCTTGGTAAAGTCACTAAACTTATTCAGAAGTGTAGACTTCCTATTGTGGAAAGCAACAAGAGATTAATGAAAAACCACTGAGTTCAATCAATCAAACATTTAATTAATCAACATTAATTTACTAGAAATGACTTTGTGATTCTTGAATCAAGAATATATTAACACAGCAACTTCATCTTGCTTTTGATGTGGTTAAAGAAGGGAATGTGTCTTTACAGAAAGGCTTTTTTTGCTGTTTTGAAAACAGAGGTACCTAACAAATCACTGCAAAAGAAGTTAGGTGAGATTGGAAAATCTAAAACAAGAGGTAGTACAGCTTTCAAGGGATCATGCAAAGACTACTTGAACTAGGTTCAAATCTTGCTTCTGACACTAGCTCTGTGTGTGTGACCACGGGGTAAGATTCTTAAAGCCTCAGCTTTTTTATCTGTAAAATGGGGCCATTAATACCTGAAAGTACCTACCTCTCAGGGATATTGTAAAGACAAAGAGAATGTCCGTAAAGTGTGTTGTAAGCCTCAATAAAGCACAACAATAATAACAGAAGCTGACACATATCATCTAGAGCCATGAACAGTACGTCACAGCAGTCAGCTGGCTCTCTTGTGATCGTCAGCAAAGCATTTAACACCCCAGCTTCAGTTCCCTCATCTGTGAAATGAAGGGGTTGGTTCTTCTGAGGCAGCTAGGTAGTACAGCAAGTAAGAAAGTTCTTAATCCCAAACTGGCCTCTGACATTTATTAGTTGTGTGACCCTAGGCAAGTCACTCTCAGTTTCTTCATCTGTAAAATGAGGATAACAGTAGCATCTGCCTCCCAAAGTTGTGAGGATCAAATGAGATGACAGATAGACAATGCTTTGCAAACCTTAAAGCACTATATAAATACTATCTATTGTTATTCTGTCTTTTTCCAAACATAAGTGATTGTAAACTCTATAAGAACAGAGATAATAAAATTTTTTATTATATATACACATACATATATATACACACACACACACACACACATATATAAAAGAACAGAGATAATATCTGAAACTTTGTAAGTTCTCTTACTCATCTTCCCCCCCAACCCCCCCAAAAGAAAAGTTGCTCAGCAAATAGTTGTTGATTCATGATAAACTGGAATGGACATGACATCTTGAAATAAGGTAGATAGTCCCATTTTTTAGTTTTTCCTGGAACTTCCATTTTGGGGAAGGGTTCAAACCATCTCACTGCCCAGATTTAGACACCATGCCTCTCCATGTTCAAGTTAATTTCTTCCTCTATGCCTTCCCCACCCTTTTCAGTGTTGTCTTTCCCCACTAGAAATAATCACCTTGAGGGCAGGGGCTATTTTTGTTTTTGCTTATATTTGTATCCCCAGAACTTACATATTGCCTGGCATATAGCAAATGCTTAATAATACAACTCTGACTCTTCACTATCTCTCACCGCCCTCCTCTACACCCATCGAAGCAGTTGCCAAGCCCTGTTGATTTTACCTTTGCAGCACCTCTCAAAAATGCCCCCCTTCTCTCTTCTGACACTGCTACTGCTCTAGTGTAGGCCCGATTACTGCAATAGCCTGCTGGTGCGTCTTCCTGCCTCAAGTTTACTCTAATCTATACTCTATTCTGCAATCAAAGTGATTTTCCAAAAGCCCAGATTCAGCCTTGCTACCACCCTCCTCAAACCCTAGTGCCTTCCTATTGCCTCGAGGATCAAATACAAAATCTAGTTTGGGTTCAAAGTCCTTCATAACCTCACCCTCTTCTACCTTTCCAGTCCTCTCACTCCTTACTCCCTGACATGGACTCTTCTATCCAGTGACACCGGCCTCCTGGCTGTTCCATGAACAAGACTCTCCATCTCTCAGCTCTGAGCATTTTCTCTGGTTGTCCTTCATGCCTGGTAGGTTCATCCTACTCATCTCTGCTGATGACTCCCCTAAAATTCCAACTAAAATCTCATCTACAGGAAGCCTTTCCCAACCCCTCCTAATTCTAGTACCTTCTGTCAATTATTTCCATTTATCCTATATATAGCTTGTTTGTACAGATCTGTTTGCTTGTTGTGTCCCCATCAGAGACTGTGAGCTCCTTGAGGACTGGCACTGTCTTTTGCCCCAGCATTTAGCACAGTGCTTATATATGGTAGACACTTACTTATCGATCAATTGATAAATGCTTGTTTTTGAGTATTCTCTGACTTGTTTTTAACACAGAGGCATTTAGAAACCAAGTACAGTCTTAATAAACAAAAGAGAAACTAAATGATATGAATACATATACTCAATATACAAAATAAAGCCTAGTTACTGTTTTAATGGATTGCTTAAAAAAATTAACCGTAAGATCTTTTAAAATACAAATCATTGAAGTTCACTTAAAATAGTGATTTAATTTTCAAAAGGTAAAACTGACAGTGTTTAGGAAATAACTGTGTAAAGCCAGATGTGTATTTAATTTTTTTTCTTAAGTTAACAAGCACCTGGGCATCAAACGTAATATAAGACAGCGTTTCCTTTCAACTTTTGACATTGACAGGATAAGACCAAACTGCCCTAAATTTTTGAATATTTTCAACATATTTAAAAACCTTTACTGTAAATTTACAGTATAATAAAGAGTATTTTGTTGTTACAATGGCAAATTTACTACTTCCAAGTGCCTAAGAATGTAATTCTGCCCAATATTCCCTAAAACAGATGACCTACAAATGCAAATTCAAAAAGACTGACATTTCACCACACACCAGTCATCAAATTGGTAGAGATGATACCAGAGGAGGATAGTCAGTGGTGGAAAGGCACAGTATATATATACAGTAGGGCATATACTACTGGTGGAGATGTTATCTGCTCCATCCTTCCAAAAAAACACTTCAGTTTAGATTAAATATACAGGATCTCTGCAAGAAGGACAAAGGTAGAAATAAAGACTCCATATATACTAAAACATTCATAGCAAAGTACCCTCAAAATCAGGACAACCTGAGCTCAAGTCCTGCCTTTGAGACCCTGGGTCAAGGTACTTCACTTCTCAATAATCCAGAAACACTAAGATCTGAAGGGACAGGGCAGTGTCCATTTGTACTGGCAAGCAGAGCTGCTTCTTCTGGAATTCCCTACACTAATAAAATCACAGGTCCAGCAAAATAAGTAAGAAAAGCAAATACATAAATGTAGTAGTAACACTTTTTGTAGTAAGGAAAAAAACCTGAAAGTTGCTCACTGACTAGAAAATTTATGGTATGTAAATATAATGGAATATTATTGGTTCTATAAAAGGTGACAAATATGCTCAGGCAAAAGTTAGCCCCTATTATGTATTAGGCACTATGTCAGACTCCGGAGATACAAATACCAAAATGAAACCATCATTTGTAAATAACTTACACAGAACTGGTATCAACCTGTACGAATCAAAGGCAGAACCAAAAAAACCAATATAAAACTACATTAATGTAAATGATAACACTAAAAAGCAACTAAACTTAAATTAACTGTAATGATCTGTCTCAGTTTCAGAGAAAAGACGAGGCAAGCCCCATTTCCCTTCTTTTCAGAGAGCAGGGAGATTACTAGTATGAGATACAAGAAGTGGTTGCTTTGTTGACTTTTTTTTTTTAATAAAAGAAAAATAAGTAAAATAGGGAGCATTTTATAGGGGGAAGGAGGCCTGGTACATTGGGAAATCACTGATGTTTAAAAAAAAAACCAAACACACACCGCCAAAAGGCATGAATCAAACTTTTAAAAGAATAAACTGTAAATAACTCAAAGTTTATGGTTTTTTGTACAATAATTTGTTATAGTTGCTTATTTGTTTCTGTTGATGTTTGCTAAATTGAAAAGAAAAAACTCCAAAACCAAAAACTACCTGACCATCCTCATAGATTCCTCAAAATATGGAGGTGATCCTGAGCAGATTCTATTATGCTGCAAAGGCTTCTGACATGGTTCTGGCAACAGATTATTTTCCAAGGACCAGCCTAACTATGTACGGAGATGAATTCTTTTGGTGGTAGTTGTTGTTGTTTTTTTTAGATGAATTCTTTGGCTGCAGAAAACCATGCATGAATCAAGATAACCCTGCATGATCAATATCTCCCCAACTGCCAAAGCCTTTATTTTAACAGTTGGGAAATAACTAGAGCCTGATATGATAGTTCTGAATTGGTTATCTGTGTCTAGTCAAGTCACCAGCTTGTTAGAGCAAAGATAAGGATTAAACAAAGGCAAAAGAACAGACGGGAAAGGCATGGCATACAAACAACTGTACCCTGATCTATTTAAATAATTAATAACACCAATTAGAGAAATTTCATCAGTAAAACAGAAGTTTTACCAATGTAATTCAATTGCCATAATAGAGACCTAAAGACTGTATGTCACATCAAAATTGCCTTAGTCATGAAATACTTTCCAAGCAGAGAGAGACAGCAAAGGAAACATGTTTAGCATATAAACTCATTAATGAAATATTACAGAGAAATATGGAATAACATAAGTAACAACACTTCAAAAACCAGAAGCAATGGAAGGAAAACTTGGTTTAAAGTAAGCTTGGTGAGAGGCACAGCCAAGACATGCCAAAGACATTTGAGAATGAAATTGGAAGATGAATGACAAAAGAGAAAATATTCTTCTAGAACACCTTTTTCACTAAAGACAACTGAGTGGCCACATTTGGACTTGGGCATTCAGTTCAGGCAGCCTAGTCATTGCTGAGGAAGTGCCCCCCCTTTATGCTGCACAGGCTCTGGCAAGTCCTACCAGATGGCAAAGACTAAGTATGGGCTTCTTTGTATCCTTAGCACTTAGTACAGTGCCTGGAACATAGTAGGCACTTAACAAATGCTTGCCACATGAGGACAAGCCTGGCTAACTTTGAAAGAGCTCCTCCTTTGGCTGAACAGAGAGTGACAAAATTTTTAGCATTTTGGTCTTTGAGAGTCCCAAGTTACAGACGAGGTATGATCTCCCTTGTCAGTGGAGGGAATACCCACCCCAGTAAAACTAGAGATCCTTTGAGTGTTGGAATACCTTCATTTGTCACACCACATTTGAAATTAAGTCCTAGAGAATGAGATGTTGAAGCTGGATGGCTTTTACAGCATTCCTGTTTGATTGTTTAAATTATACCATTCTGGCACTACTGTGTCATTTCACAAAATAATGATTGGTGGTTATGATTCTGGCTGAGAATAATTTCAACCAATTTCCTTGAGTCATGAGAAAAGACCATAGGTTGACAGCTTAGAAACATTCCCCACAGAGTCTTGCAGATACTCACAAGTAACCTTCAGACCTACTACAGCCTGGATGTCAATTTACACAGATAACACAATAATAATACCACCTGCTGTTTCATGGACTCCATGATATTTTGCTACTTAACACACCCATAAAGCCTTAGAATTATACAGATGAAAAGGAAAACTATCTTTTAAAAATTGTTAACTATTTTGCTTTTGGAGAAACAGGAAAAGAACTTGCCTATCCAAGACAGTACCTAAGTCCGTGACAGACAGCTTCCAAATCTATAGCTATACTAGCTATTAATAGGCCCTAGTTTCCCTAGGCAATTGCCTATCCACGTTTTCAAATCTAGTTTAGCTGTTGCTCAATTTCTTAAGGTTTTCCCAGAAACAAAAAATACAACCATTTTCAGCTTGATTCCCAAGTTCTATTTAATATAGGCTTGACAATACGACCCTTCCAGAAGAGGAAACTGCTGATCAAGAAGAAAGAAAGCCCTACCCAACATTTCAGTTCTCTCGGGCTACGACTTGTACAGTAATTAACATTAAGGAAGAAGGGGAAAATATACAAAACAGATTTAACATGTGATGCAATGACGTCTGAAAATGATAGTTTTCCAAACAAATATGGCATTAAATAACAGCAAGAAAGTCATCTGGTCTTCTATTACTATCCATATGAGATTAAGTAAATTCTTAACAGTTTTCAGCAGACAAAAATTAAACTGAAAACATTCTCAGAATTTATTGCTACAATAAGACCTAGTGATACCCATAAATGTTGGCAACCAGATTCACAGATTGTCAGTCAGATAGGCCCTAGAGATGACTTAAGAAAACTGAGGCCCAGGGAAATTAAACGACTTGCCCAGGGCACCACTTCTAAAATCAGTTAAGAAGCAGAAGAACTAGAGATTGAAGTTAGCTAAGATGGTTCAAATTCTGGGTCTGCCACTTAATAGCTATGTGGATCACAACCTTTATGTCCAAGTTTTCTCATCGGCAAATTGAGAACAATGGACTAGATGACGTTTAGGGTCTTTTCTAACTCTCTATGATCCTGGGACTTTCTGACTCCCAGTCTAGTGCTATTATGCCACCTGCCTTCCATCATCTACATGTTATTTCAAGATTCTCTCTCTTCCCCCCCCCACCAAAAAAACCCCTCTAACCATCACAGTGGTTAAATGAAATTCCAGTTAAAGCTTCATCTTATTTATGGGCTTTGTGGAATCTGTTTAAAAAACAATTTCAGCTGTCTATAGTAATTTATACTTCAAACGTGGATAAATTCTATACCAACGGAAAAAAGTTGAGAGAGGAGAAGATGGAAAGGGAATGAAAAGGGGTCCACAATAAAAGGAAGTTGTGGGCATCAGAAAACAAATTCTTCCTAGTTTGCAAATTTATCTATGGCCAGCTTAGAATAAAGTGGTCCTTGATATTCTGCTGGTATGGTCACCTTTCATTAACTCAACAAATATTTGAGGGGCACCTAGGTGGCACAGTGGATAAAGCCCTGAAGTCAGGAGTATCTGACTTCAAATCCGGCCTCAGACCAAACACTTGACACTAGCTGTGTGACCCTGGGCAAGTCACTTAACCCTAATTGCCCCCCAAAACCCAAACCAAAACCAAAACAAAAACACAAATATTTGAGTGGCTCTACTGTTCAAGGTTAGGTGGAGAATTAAGAAAAAAAAAAAGACACAGACTGCACTCATGGAGCTTACAGCAGAGAAGACATGATATATATATAAAGCAAAAACAATCTAAGATAGAATATGAAAGGTAAAAAAAGAAAAAAGGATGTTATGGCAATTCAAAAGAAGAAGAAAGATTAGAGGACGGAAGAGGAACAATCAGAAAAGGCACCTGAATTAGGACTTGAAAAGAAGGTGAAAATCAGACAGGCAGATCTAGGGGGAAGTGGGAAGAGTGGAAGAGTATTCTAGGCAAAAGGCACAGAGATGGGAAAGCACTAGGCTTACTGGACAACAGTGACAGTTTTACTGAGCTGGAGAAGGGGTTGCATAAAGATAGGTTTGCAGGATGGAAAACAGAAGGCCTTAAGTATCAGGCTAAAGAGTTTCAGCTTTACTTAACTTAACAATAGGAATCCCTGGAAAAATTTTTAGCATCATGCTGCCTTTCAAAGGAGACTGATGCTGGCTTGAAGGGCATATTGATAACAATTTTCCATGGATTAGGAAGAGAGGACAGTTATTTAAAAAAAAATTGTAATACTCGGCAAGATTGTAGTAGCAAAGTTCCAAACTGAATGACAATGTTTTAATGTGGACCTGCCTCTCAGATGCTGGACTAGCACTGACGAAAATACTAACTTCTGGGTTTTTTTTTTTAAACTCAAAAATAATCTTAAAATAACTGTTTTCAATGCCTCTCTCAATATCTAGAGGATAAGAAGTTCTTTGGACCCTAAAACATAGGCTAACTCACCAGGAATCCTCATCTTCAAATTCAGTTGTTACCTAACAAAAAGCGTTATAAGAACTTTCAGGGTGATCCAGAAAGAAGAAAGTCTGCCAAGGAGATATCCATTGGCCTAAGCTGCCAGGCCCTTGAGATGATTGAAGGTGAAAACTCTATTCCTTATAGCAAGAATGTTACCCTGTGCCAAGTAAACAAAGCAGCACTCTCCAATAAGCTAGCAGAGCATTGGCAATTTGTGTTATTCACACTAATGTTTCCCTCCACTAGTACTGCTAATTGAAATATGACTATAATATATGTCTTTACAGTAAGATAAACTCAGGTCTTTTTTGCTTGTTAGAAGACCACGACAACAAAGCTAAGGTCCTGGATTGGATCCTTCTATGGACCACTTAATTTCATTCCATTCTTCATCTACATACTATTACATCCTAACTCCAACTTACATGCCCTACACTTTTTGATGGGCCAACACTATTCTTTTTTGTGTGCTGCAAAGTATTATAAAATAATAAAAACATAATTTAAAACATAAGGTATGGAAATAGAACTTGTAAGACTTTCTGTACCATTAAGTACAAAAACAGAAAATTTATATTTAAATTTCTACTGTTGAAACCAGCAAAGCAGCATTGAACTTGTCTAATCAGTATTCATTTATTCTTGTCCAAGAGACTAGAAAGGCAAATGATATGAAGAATCCACAGACAAATCCTTTTTATTAATTCTATGATTCAAATTGAATATATAAACAACAACTATCTATCTTTTTTGCTTAATGGTCCATCAGAGGACAAAAGAAGTGTTGCATTTGATCATTCTAATGGTTCCTTAGTGCAAGTCCCACCTAAGTTTTTTTTGGCGATAACCTTTAAAATGAATTCTTTCTAAAAGATTAATAGCAGCTATGTTTATCAAGTAGGGCTGAACATAACAGCAATGAGTACTTATTACCTTTTGATTGATGTAACTGAATACACAAGAATATAACCATTAATGTCTATGGAGTACGTCTGAGGAAAGATGGAGTACTCATCCTGTGGGGAGGGAAAAAAACCACAATTATATTCAAGGAAATTATCTAACATAAAAAGCAATCATCATCAACATTTCTCCAAAGGATATCAACTGTTACACTGAAATAAATACATGACCGGACGCTCTTAGTTCACTATACTATAAAACAAGACTACTAAGCTATGCTATTACATTTCTACCCACCAAATACATCTAGAGCAGGCTAGGGCAGGAATGTGTGTGGAGAGTGAGGAAAGACATATTTTAAAAGCAAGTACCTGGGTAGAATATTAATAATAATTGACATTTATACAGCATCTTTAGGTCTGCAAAGTGCTTTGCATAGTGACCATCTAAATTTCACAATAATTCTGCAACATATTCACCAGAGAATGCTTCCCATTTCACATTAGAGGAAACTAAGGCTTGGAGGTTAAGTGACTTGCCCAATGACCACAGTATTCTAACCCAGATTATCTCTATTCCAAAATCACCACTCTAACCATCACTACAAAACTAGTTTTTGTTAACTGGTTAAGATGAGTTAACTGTTGACTTCTCCCCAAATTTCTAAGTGGAAGGAAGTAATAAAAAACGAGTAAGTTCTGTAAGGAAAGAGTTGACAATTGTATAATAGAAAGTAAATCAGATTGGGGGTCAGAAGACTATCATTTCTAATCTCAGCTGTGCTATTAACTAGCTGAATGATCTCAAGCAAGTTACAACATTTGCCTTGGGGCCCCACTGTCCTGAATGGCAACTGCAGCACTCACTCATCATTTCAAATAGACCCCAGCCAGCTTTAATTTACTCCCTACTCCTGAGCCTTTTTCTCAACTGCCTAACTAGAAGCCTTGTAGCCATACTCCCTTAAGTTTTAGAACCATGATCAAATCAATTCTGCTATTACTCTTGGATGGGGTCCATACTCTATGGCCCCCTTCACCATTCCTGAACCAAAATATCCCTTCAGACTCTACTTTCCCATGTGCGCTGTGCCCCTTCCCTCCCATTAGCATGAGGCTCCTTGAAGCCTGAGACTGTCTTTGCTTTTGGATTTGTATTGTCAGTGCTTAATATAGTGCTTAGTACATGGTGTTTATATAATAGTCAATATACTGACAATATACACAATATTATATATACACCTACTAAATCTAAGTATTTCACCACTGGTAAACAGAAAAAAAAATATTAAGATGTGGAGGATAGGTAAACCTATTGTACTCTTTATCACACCTCACTTTACTAATGACCACATATGATAATCACTACCATTTCTGGTGTTTTCCTTTTTATGACTTATTTTTTAGAACTCAATATGCAAATAATTTTACTAGGTCTTAAAGCCATTTCAATATAAATTCAGCTCCCATTTTTGTAAGAGAAATTGGTGATAGAATTTTTTTAAGAATGCTAGTCCATATATCAATGTAATACTGTATTACAAATACTTATAAAGTAATATTTTAAGGGTACCATTTCAAGAGTTCAGTACGGAGTTATTAAATACCAGTTAGGTTCTGGGAATCCAAACACCAAAATGAACTAGTTACTGCCAAGGAGCCTGCATTTTACAACATACACACAGATAAGTAAATACAAGGTAATCTGAGGACAGATAGCACATTAACATACTAAGGGGATAATGAATTCCCTTCAGAAGTAAAACCTGAAAGGAGGTAAGATACAGCTTGAAGGAAGATAAAGATTCTGAAATGGAGAGATAGTATATTCCAAGTATAGGAAATTGCTTGTGCAAATGAAAGGAAGCAGGAGGTTGTGTTCAGGTCAGGAAATAGTTATTAGTCCAACTTAGCTGGAATGGGAGTTAAAGGATAAGAATAGAAAGAAAATGAGAAATAAGGCCAGAAAAATTAGGTGGAAAGCCTCAAGAACCAGGCTATGGGACATGAAAGATATACCCAGGGATGATGTTTCCCAGAGAGAGAGATATTTATAAGAACAAAAAAGGAAAGAATATGAAAATATCTATCTAGAATGAAGGAAAGCTTCAACGAACAAACATTCTGCAAGTGCCACTATTCCTGGCAATGGGAATATAATATAAACATATAAAAAGTGAGTTAGCCCTTGCCCGACAGGAGAAGACGACGGATTTGAGAATTAATGCAGTACAGAGGGATAAGCATTTCCTTTTGGTTATGAGAACAAGGGACTATCTTGATCTTTGAGGCAGAAGGTAGAGTCTCATCTGGGAGTTCTTGAAGGGGCACCATTTGGCAGACACACACTAAAAGGGATGAATAGGGTCTTCAAGAGCTGACCAGCAGCAGCAGTGGGGACACAGCACCCTCAGCTATCATTCTTTCTTCAAACTAACACATTCAGCCCAGTATTTAAAGAGCCAAAGCAAAGAGGCAGCAGACAAAAGGCAACACTGAAAGGAGAGCTAAGCTGTGGTAAAGAGAGAAAGTGGAGGGCCACCAGGTCCTTTCACAGACATCTCAGCACAGATGACTCAGGCTGAAGCTACCAGCTTTACCCAATGAGTTCCAATAAAAGTTCCTAACTTCTTTTCTCTCTGCCTGTTTAAGAACAGACACTGTAATATATTCTGCTAGCTTCTTTTATCCAAACCTTTCCTATAGCTTGATTTTTGCTTCAAATATAGAGGCCAAGGGCTACCTAGAGATAAACAAAAATTTTAATTTGAACAGAGAGGCAAACCTTTCCCTGAATGTTAAGAGTTGTCCTAACTGGGGGATCAGTTATTGAGATTATACTCCTATTTTTTTTTGTCTGATAAACTCCATAAAACAGGAGAGACTGGGCCCCTGAGGGCCATTTTATTGCCCCCAAGCTGAAAAGCAAACTGATGTAACAGGGCACGGCTGATTAACTCTCCAGAAATAAAGGGAGGAAAAGAGGGAAGGCTTGGGAAAGATGGAGCTCTGATCCTATCCAGCAGGAAGGAGAGAGCAAAAAGAAGCCAGTACTAGCTGGCCAATTCTACCCTCCACAGCAAAACCCACAGCCCAGTGTTACCAAAAAAGGTTTTTCCCTCTCCTCTTGTATGGTTAATGAATAAATTGCAGTAGAAAACAAAAACGAGAAATGTATACAGTCCCCAGTAACATTAAAACTCTTAAAATGACACAAAAATCCTAAATGCTTTCTTCCAAAGAAAAAGATGCATCTTCAGCAGTCTTCTAAATTTTGTATATATTAATTCCCTTTCAGAGACACACTGGGAATCCAAACACCAAAATGAACTAGTTACTGCCAAGGAGCCTGCATTTTACAACATACACACAGATAAGTAAATACAAGGTAATCTGAGGACAGATAGCACATTAACATACTAAGGGGATAATGAATTCCCTTCAGAAGTTCTATGAACCAAAACTCTCACTAGAAATACAGAGAAATGAGGTGACCTACTCAGCATGAATCAACAAAAATGTTTTTCTCAATATAATAACATGATAACTTAGGTAATATGTGTGGGGGAGGTCATAGTGGATATGAATAAATGACAAGGGCATATATGTGCAAATGCACATATGCATGGAATATTCATGGAACTAAATTTTTGCTATTTCCATGACTTCCTAGAAACAGAGCTCCAAGTTTTGAAATCTCTCTTCTCTCCTCTTCCCCAATGCTCAATCTAGTTTTTAAGGAAACTCAAAATGGCCACTGACCTGCTGCCACCATAAATTATCCCTTCATTCCATATTCATTTTAAACCTGCAGAGAAGAAGGGAGTTAATAGCTGACTTTAGGTTTATATTAATAACATCATATTAATCAGCCACAGGACGGCTAGGTGGCACACAGGATAGAATACTGGGCCTGAAATCAGGAAGACTTATCTTCCTGAGTTCAAATCTGGCCTCAAGATTCTTATTAGCTGTGTGATCCTGGGCAAGTCATGTAAACTTTGACTGTCTCAGTTTCCTCATCTGTAAAATGAGCTGGAGAAGTAAATGGCAAACCAATTCAATGTTTTTGCCAAGAAAACCCCAAATGGGGTCATGAAGAGTTAGACACAACTGAACAACAAAATCAACCACTATGACTTTAAATCAATAAGACATTTGGAACAATCAATTCTAACCTTTCACTCTAAAACAAAAAGTGAAATAAGGAAAACCTCTAGTTTCCAAATCAGACTTAATCTGCTTACCTGATCCTTTCATAAGAATCAGATAGTTGGCAGTCTAGTAAAACCTCAGCCCTTCTGTTTATCTCCAGGTATTACATCTTGTAATTAATTTAATTTAGGTCAACAGTGTGGTTCCCATTGGAATGGTAACAGCTACTCTTCACTGTAGTGGGAAATTCAAGATGTCAAAAGGATTTACTCCTACGCTTCCAGCATTCAATATCCCCTTAATCCTACACCTCTAGTCACCCATTCCATATTTATCTTTTTCCACTGAGCTCTGCTCATTTTTATACTGTCACAAGAACAGTTACTATCACAAGTTCTTAAAGGGTTAGTATTTAAGATCCACTTCAATTGATATACCACACTTCTTCATTCATAAAACTTGCAATTTAAACTGGCTTCTCTGCAATAGTTTTGCTCATAATCTATGTTTTCAACCAAGGTGACCCAACTGTACCCTTGCTTCCATGTTTCTTCCCTTATCAGGCTCTCTCCACTACTTTGAGCTCCTTTAAGACCCTTCCTATAAATCTTTTAAAGCTCAACTCAAATGATACCTTCTTCCCTGATCCACTGCCTGCCGAACTATTAACCCTTCCACACCTCAGACTTCACATATTTCCTAATGTAGCTATCTTGTCAGATTATGTACCATAGCTATATCTGCTGTCTAATCTACTAGACTGGACACTTTTCAGAGTAGGGACTGTTTTATACAAACCTTGTACCTCTTCCAATACACCTAGTAAAACACTGAAGATGGACAGCGTTTAATAAATGTTTATCAACACTCTGCTCTGATCATTCCCCTTACAGTTTTTTTTTTACCATGTTGTCTTGCATGTTATTCCCTTTGTTTTGCAATTTATGTTTCTTCTGTTATTTTAAGGTATCTCCTCCTCCTATGAGAGGAATGACATCTTATTTGTTATGTGAGCAAGAGGCATTTATTAAGCATCTACATTGTGTAAGAAACTCTGCTAGATGGAAAGGATACAAATACCAAAGTCAAATAGTCTCTGCTTTCAAGGATTCCAAGAATCTCTTTCTAGAAGCAATGGCAGTACTGATTTGATAACTGTTTCCAGAGCAAGAGGTGGAAAGCACCAAAGAATGGGAGAGTATGCCACACACACAGGGGGCATGGAGCCTACAGTAAATGGATGGGAAACACAGTGAGAAGCTGCTATGAGGAATAAATAAATGTATATTCATGTAATAAGGCTACCTGTACTAAGTACTGGGTTGTGCACACAGTGGACATTTACTAAAGATTTGATGAGTGAATGTTAAACCTAAAGAATTAAGTATCAATCATCACTACAAAATGCTAACCCAAATATAAAGCAAAAGTATAAACAAATTTCTTTTGTAACCCTTGGATTTAATATTCTTGAATAGTACTCTTAGTAAAAGGCTGTGAGTATCACTTTTAAAGTTGGTTTCTCAAGTCTTATAAAGATCATGTAATTTATAGAAGATCAGTACCCCATGAAGGCTACTTACAGGAGCTCTTAAAAATTGCCACTGATAGTAAAACTAGTTATAATACCTGAGATTTTCTGGAAGGATAGGGGATTGGAAGAATGGAGAAGGGAGAGACTAATTGGAAGTAAGGACATATGTCTTACGTACTATGGGTGGTATTGCTAAGGCCTAACTCCTAGGGCAAAGGACACTAATACATTAGTTAAAAAAAAAAATACAAGGGGCAGCTAGGTAGCTCAATGGATAGAGCACTCGCCCTGGAGTTAGTAGAACCTGAGTTCAAATCCACCCTCAGACACTTGACACTTCCTAGCTGTGTGACCCTAAGCAAGTCATTTAACCCCAAGTGCCTCTCCAAAAAAACAAAAAAACCCACAAACAAAAACAAACACAGTCCAATTTGGTAAGAAATTAAAAACAAAGTTTTCTCAATGGTTCAGTGGGAAGAGCACCAACTGAACCTAGAGTCACAGGCCCTAAGTTCAAATTCTGACTCTACCACCTGTGGGACCTTGAAGAAGTCACAACCTCCATGGGCTCCAGTTTCCTCATTTAAAAAATGAGAGTTTGGATCTAGATGATACTGATTCTATACCCTGGCCTGGTCACAGTGCCAAGAAACTAAAATCAAATATATAGACAGGAAGGGAGCCCTTTATATTTAGATGCTCACAAATGGACTAAAGAATGGAAACTGCGTATTAGCAAGTTTATAAATTCACACTCCGCACACCTATGGAGCGGCAGACTTTTAACAATCTTAGTCATACTAATTAGGACAGGCTGAAATCTATTTCGACCCTCCCCCAAAAGAAAAACCATTATCAACAACCTTTAAGCAGAATGAAGCCACCAAGTCTGCTTAGAAGAATTTTAAAGGACAGATGATATTTGGGAGCTTTCTTCTGTCTTTTTATTTTACTGGCCCCAAAGGATAACTTTTAACTCAAATTTAACTTCACAGAATCATCATATGATTTAAGTCACTATTCCTGTATTGCATTTTCAATGGAAACAGTAAACAAGTAGAACTTTTTCCAGTGTCACACAGGGAGTACTTCGGTGAACAATTATCAAGTAGAATTCTTTAATGGAGAGCCAAAATCTCACAGTAAATACAAACTCTTCTAAAACTATAAATATTCAATTAACTGAACAATTACATGTATCTAACTATGAAGAAAGCACACGAACTGTATGATTATCACAATTAGGATCTATTAGGATAGATCACTCTCTACATGCATTTAAATAAGACTAGCTGATTTACACAGGTATTGAGACTATCACAAGGCTTAGAATGTAGTACCATGTGGATAAGTTAGATTCTGAAAGGCACAAAAAAATCCATACTTGGGACAAACTAACCTTAATTTCTTTAAAATGAAATATAAAAATTTATACTGTACAATTAATATGCGTTCAACATAAACAACTTCCAAATTCTCGAGCATTAAACAAGCAAAGCTAGTGCCAAAGTGGACAATTTCACCGTGTGGATCTTTAAGCCACTAGAGATTACTTACTTGCCCAGCTGTGTCTACCAGCTGAAGATGATATTCTTGTCCATTTACTGTGATCAATTTTGTAAATGCTACAAAAAACCAAAAGGAATTAAATGTTAATCTACAGTTAAAAAAAACCCTCTACCCAGAACACTTACTTTTAAAGCTTTATCACTGATGAATAATTGAGCATAAAGTACCTAAAAGAGCCTAACACAAAAGAAAACCATCCTTTCTCCCAGTTTTCATCATTTAGCTCTATTCACCATGAGGACATTTTCACACATCAAGTCATCAATGAACTCGTAAAAACCCAGAATCTTTTTTAAGGTTTGCAAACTATGGGCCAATGCTAACCCATAAAACTATTAAAGATTTACTTATGGGCATTCTTTTTTATATAAAAGAAAAAATTTGATTCTAATTCCAAAGGCTAAAAACTCCTCATTAATATTAAGTCTGGTTTCCAAGCACAAAGTTTTATGTTAATTGAAGCACTAAGAACATTTAGTACAAAAAAAAAAAGGATTAAAAATTTTCACTGTATGATAAAACTGCAAAAAGAATTAAAATTCTAAGTTATGGCCATCATTTCCTCTCAACTTACTGGCAACAAGCACTCTGGCCCAGTTCTTTATCAAGGAAAAAAAAAATCAGAATATTTATTAAAATACCTGTACACTTTTTAAAATCAAGAATTCTAGAGAAATACCAACTGGTAACTTCTCTACTTTTTTGTCTGCATTTATTAAATATTTAAAGTTTCACCATCACATTAGGAATATATAGCAGGGAAAGTACTGAATTTGGAGTTAGATTTTAATTCTTGTTTTACTATAATTAACCTATGATCCTATAGTTTCATTTTGATTTTCAAATAAAAGTTGATGTAAAATCAGTTCAAAGAAGGTTTTAATTTTTAGATAATCACAGCTTCCAGACAGAAACTGAAAATAATTATTTTGGAAATGTGGTTACATTTAAGGTTAGTAAGCTGAAAAGGGATACATGAACTATTTAATAGTTGCTTTCATTCTGTTAACAAATGACAACTCAATCCCCTACCTCCTACAACAAAACTGAAAGATCTAACACCTAGAAAGAAGAAAATAAGGGTAAGGAGGGGAGAACTAAGATATTAGAGGAAGAGGAGTTATTTCCTCTACTCAGTACACTTTTCACTTGTTAATAATTCATTAGAAAAGAGCAGTGCCTGAAACACAGTAGGTGTTTAATAAGTGTTTACTGTTACACTCAAAACCTCATTACATGCCTAAGCAATCTGCATGTTGCACGGAATTCCTTCTAACACTAAAACAGCACACTAGCTTTCACAGTGAAAAGATAATATAGAGAAAAAGTTGGACAGGAAACCAGTATTCGCCAAGTAATGAAATGAACATGAATACAAAGAACAATCAGATTTCAACATTAATTTGTAAGGGTGGAACAAATGATTTTTAAAATGATGGGTTAAGAATGCTAATAATAAAGGTATATCAAATGATTAAGAACAATGGAGATTACCAAAACTGATACTTTTAGGCACCATTCAATATAGACACTCAATACATGTTAATGAGGATGACTAATCAGAGATTATTTTCATAACCTTTATTCTTCAGAACTGAATTATTACTACTGTGCCCTTAAAATATGGCAGTGTGCAATCAAAACATTTACTCAGTCTTTACTGGGGGCAACCACTGTACTAGGTACAGGGAACAAGCTAAAAGAAACACAGTCCCTGCTCTCAAAGAGGTTTATTTGTTGTTGTTATTGTTGGGTTTTTTTTTTTGTGGGGTGCGGGTGGGGACAGAGGTGATATAACACAGACAGAAAAAACAAATACAAGGTAATAGGAGGAAGAAGACACTAACAGGATTGAGAAGGAAGGCAAAGAAGAAGGGCTTCCAGAAGGAAGCTTGAAATCTAAGCTAACTCTGGAAGGAAGCTAGACAGTCTAAAAGGCCAAGGTGAAAAAGGACAGGAAATGAAGGAAATGAAAATGGCCTTACTCCTTACCTAAGCCCTCTACCTGTTCAAGGATTCCTCACATGGAGGGAGAGTATGTGTGAAGGTTTGAAGGCTGGAGATAGAATGCCAATTTGGCTGAACAGAGAGTACATTAAGGAGGGGAACATGAAACAAATCTGAAAAGAAGCCAGATTATGGAAAGCTTGAAATGCCAGGCTGAAGTTTCTATTTTATTCCAGAAGCAATAAGGTGGTACTGTAACAGAGACTTTTGAACTGCTATTCCCAATTCAATTACGTGTTAACTCGTTGTTTAAGTCAAGATCTGTTTTACTTGCCACCTTGCATTCCAGTATAGTTTTAATAATATACACAGTTTTTAAACCCACAAGGACATGGTGAATATACTGTAAAATTCAGTTAATCAGAATCTAACAGGAGCCCTCAGTCTAATAGCATACACCTATATCTCCAAGTAAAACTTTAAAACTGATCTTTATAATGAGGATTCCTAAGTAATACAAAATTATCCCCAAGAGAAGAATTCAATCAAAATTAAGAAAGGGAATTTTCACCAATATTTTGTTAAGTATTTCAAACAGATTGAAACCTTAATAAAACATTCAATTAACCAGAATCTTATTTTAAGCTGAAGAGTTTATAGATAAAATAATGAAACAAAATAAATTGTTCCATGGTTATATTTCGAGTCCTTTTCATGGCAGAACTAAAATTAGGATTAAAAAAAATGTAGCTTACTTGGGGTTCATACCTCAGACAAAAAGCATAATATGTAACAGTAAGGAAAAAAAACACCACCAGATATTTATGAAATCTTTACCGTATGCTAGTATCATGCTATGAGGTATACAGTATAAGGTACAAGCCCCTGACCTCAAGGGGTAATTTAGAGTCACAGATTGTGACCCTGTGCAAGTCACTTAACCTCTGTCTGCCTCAGTATTTTCATGTGTAAAATGGGAATAAAAATAGCACACTCTCCTATCCAGGATTGTTATGAAAATAAAATGAGGTAATGTTTGTAAAGTGCTTAGAAACTGCCATTCTAGCTATATGAAATATCACAAAGGGCAAAACAGTTAATTGATACAGTGGTAAAGATAGAACTATGACTTCTAAGGAATGAGAGACTTTAGTGTTAGGTAAGCTCCAACTAATAATAAGAGACTTGAGCCAGGCCATAATGTCTTGAGTTTAAAGTGACAATCAACCAAAGCCAGCAAGCTAGCAGTGTCCCAATAGAACTGACTCTACAAAGTACCCCAAGCTTTCAACACTTCAAGGAAATGCGGGAACCATCAGCAAGTGTAAAAGAATTTTCCAGTAGGAAAATGGTATATGTACAGTGAGTGAGAAAGCTGCAGCGACAGTTATGGTTCATGAACTTGTATGTTAGCCTTACATGGCTAATTTATAACCCATAGCCAATAATGAAAATGAACTCAACAGGAAAAAATGAAGACAGCACCAATTTCAAGGCTCTTCAGATTTTTCAAAACATGGCAGAATCACTCTCATTCTCAACTAGATCTTTCTCCATAGAGCACTTTGCAGTACTTCAATGAAGGATTAAAGAATGAGCACGAATCCTTAAGGTTATACAAGTGGTTCGTTGTGCGATGACTAATATTGATAAACTTAACCCTTCCCAGCAATACAATGATCTAAGACATCTCCAAAGGCCTCGTGATGGAAAATGCTATCCACATCCAAAGAAAGAACTATGGAATTTGAATGCAGATTGAAGCATACTATTTGCTATTTTTTTCTCTTCTGTTTAGTTTTGTTTCCTCTTTCTGATGGTTCCTCCTATTGGTCCTAATTCTTTCTTACAACATCACTAATGTGAAAATATGTTTCACAGGAATGTATATGTATAGCCTATATCAGATTGTGCGCCGTCTTAGGGAAGGAGGAAAATTTTAAACTCAAAAGCATATGGAAGTGATTGTTGATAAATCAAAATAAATTAAAAAAAAAGGGGAGGGAAAGGTTATACAAGTGGTTGTAGGTCTTTGACCCCTCAGTTCTCCATAGGTCATCTCTTTGGCGCTAGCCACTTTCTCTTCTTTTCCCCATCTCATTCCCTTGGTGAACCAATTCAACTCTACACTGTCCTTTTCTCTTGAGTCCTTGGCCCCCTTACCATGTCACCAATGGCACCTTACCAAGCCTCAGTCTTTTGTCACTTTCACTATTTGCTGTCTTTGATCCTACACACATGCGGCTGCACGCATGTGGAGAAAATCATGTAACTGTTCTGATTCAGTCCACTACAAATTTATAACCTCAATTGGGCCCTTTCTGCTGCTAGGCGATCCTACTATATGCCTCCTTAATTCCAGTGTTTCTTCCAACCCTTTACATCCCTCCTCATACTTCCCATGTCTCCCCCTCTGCCCTATCCTCTCAGCTGAGAACCACTTTTCTACAGAAAAATAAATGAACCATTTGAATGAGCCATTTGAACTGAACTCTCTCATCTTCCCTCTTTTTCTCACATCACTCATTTGCCTTCTGCTACTATCTCTTCCTTCAACCCTATGTCACATAATGAGGTGGCTTTACTCTTTACCTAAGCCCTCTATCTGCTCAAGCAATCCCATTCCATCCTGTCTCCTCTGACATGTATTTGTATGTTGTCCCTCCCATTAGATTGTAAGTTCCTTGAGGGCAGGAGCTGTCTTTTGCCTCTTCTAGTATCCCCTGCACTAGGCACAATGCCTGGCACATAGTAGGAGCTTAATAAAGGTTTATTAACTCTATTCCTGAAATAGGAAAGGGGTGAGAAATGTTCTTAATCAAAAGAAGAGGAAAAAATGTTTAATCATAACTTATTTCAAAGGAACTAAGTGATCTTCTAAAGCAATATTCAAAAGTCAGGTTGACTATTTAAACGGCTGTTACATGATTTCAGTGATGGAAATGTACATTTACAACCTAAAATATAAAACATTAATAACATCTTGATATTTTTGCAAATAAACAGTTTAGAATTTCTCCTTCATAAAACAGGAAGATGGAATTTCCCATATCATGAGGCTAGACCTCATTCTTATTGCTTCAGTAACAAGATGTAAAGCAAAATTAAT